AAGGGGGCCTCGAACCGAACGTGTGACCCCACCAATGCATTGCTCTCCGAACGAGGAGTCCATTGGGGGGGTTACACGCTCGGTTCGAGTTCTATTCAGCTACTCTGGAGCTCAAAACGCGTCTAGAGTTTTGGCTGCCTCCACCGGTCTTCTGGCCCACTGTACGCCGCGTCTCTCTCGCATTGAGAGCCGTGGTGTATGACGAGGACCCTGCCTACTTTGTGTAAGCCGTGTTGCAGGGAAGGACTCCCGCGATTCGACAAGGCCCCAGGATGACACGCAAGTCACACACACACACACACACACACACACACACACACACACACGCACGCACGCGCACGCGCACACACACACTCAGTGGGCCGCCAGAAGACCGGTGGAGGCGGCCAAAACTTTAGACGCGTTTTGAGCTCCAGAGTCGCTAAACAGGGCTCAAACGGAACCAGTGTCCCCACCAATGGATTCCTCGTTCGGAGAGCAGTCCATTGGTGGGGCCACACGTTCGGTTCGAGTCCCATTTAGCGACTCTGGAGCTCGGAACGCGCAACTGACCGTCGATGGGGTCCCTGGAGCGGTGGAAGATCTCGACCAGGATGGAGGCGTAGGAGAAGATGATGACGGCGAGCGGCAGCAGGTAGAGCGCCACCATGCCGAACGCGGCGTACGTCACCTCCGCCATGGGGGTCGTGAGCGTGCCCATGGTGATGCACTGCATGTACCACTTGTGCTCGAAGTGCGGCAGCGCCTGGAACACCACCATCTGGGAGGCAGCCCCCCCCCCCAAAAAAAAAAAAAAAAAAAGGGGAGCAAGGGAAAAGTTTTATTATTTAAAAAAGTAATGTGGGCCCCCACGGTAAAAACGTTTTTCAACCCCCTTTTCCCAGGAAGCCGGGCGGTAAGAAAAGGCTTTTCCCAGGGGCCTGGGAAAACCAGGATCCGTCTTTACCGGGTTGATAAGAAGTCAGTGGGGAACAAAAAAAAAAAATGCCACATAAATTCATGGTTTTTTTTTTTGAAAAAAAAGGGTTTGGCGGAAATGCGTTTTTCACCTGCGGCAGGCTGCAGATGACCGCAGCCACCCAGGCCCCGGTGAGCATCCAGCGGCCCCGCCGGTCAGAGATCTGCATGGGCCGCAACACGGCGAAGTATCTGCAAATACCAAAGTTGCACAATTTTTAATTTTTTAGACGGAGCGATGGTTTGTTAATGACGAAGCATTTTCTTTGTAAATCTTGCGTATCACAGTGGGTCAGAAGACCGGTGGAGGCGGCCAAAATTCTAGACGCGTTTTGAGCTCCAGAGTCGCTGAATGGGACTCGAACCGAACGTGCGACCCCACCGATGGATTGCTCTCCGAACGAGTAATCCATTGGTGAGGTCACACGTTCGCTTCGAGTCTCATTTAGCGACTCTGGAGCTCAAAACGCGTCTTTGCCCGCCTCTACCGGTCTTCTGGCCCACTGTTCGTATGCTCAAAACCCTTTGTAATGACAAGCTCAGTTTGGTGGACCTGGAATGGTTTGAAAGACTTTGAGAGTGTGCATGACGAGTTGATTGAATGGAGTGTTGGCCCCAGGCCGCTCCGTCGCCTCCTACACTGATAGAGTCATGCTCTCTGGGGGGTCGTCGCTGGTCGTCGCGACGCTGCGCGGCTCGTTTGGGGTTTTAGGGTGGAGTGCCGCCACCCAGGTACAGTGCGACGCCGTCCCCGAAGCCCGAAGTCGAGCCTGAAGGGCTGAAGGCTGGGAAGGACTTACAGCGTGCTTACGCCTCCTTGGCTCGCCTGGGCCGCGCGGGCCCCGAGGGGCAGCCACCCCGTGACACGGGCGGGCCGTTAAGGAGCTGAAGTGCGATAAAGTAATGGGCGAAACAACAACCCTCGGCAGTGAAACCGTCACACTGGGAATCCGGACGGCGCCGAACACTAAAAAAAATGAAATATACTAAAAAAAAAACGCGTTTTGAGCTCCAGAGTCGCTAAATGGGACCTCAAACCGAACGTGTGACCCCACCAATGGATTGCTCTCCGAACGAGGAATCCATTGGTGGGGTCACACGTTCGGAGCGAGTCCTGTTTAGCGACTCTGCAGCTCAAAAACGCGTCTGAAGTTTTGACCGCCTCCACCGGTCTTCTGGCCCACTGTGCGCGGGGATGCTGGCTCCCGGATTAGCAGTGGATCGTCGCTCCACTCATTTGTCCCGCCAAGGTCCCCTTTTGAAACGTCCCAAACTTGACACTGCTCCCCGCGGCTCCTCCGTCGAGTTTCTCCTCCAATAGCTGGGGGCCGCGCCGGACCTTCAAAGGCACGGACTCCCCCCCCCCCCTTTTAGAAGGTGGAGCTGCAATAATCTCGCCGCGAACGACTGCCAACTATATTGTTTCTCTGCGTAGTTTGGGTACTTCCTGCGTACAAAGGCCCTTCGCCCTCGGCGATGGAGTCTCGCAGGGCCGCCCGCTCATTTCAACCCCCCCCCCTTCTTCCACCCCACTGTATAATGGCCCCCTCCGGATTTGCAGGCAGAAGCCAGGGCTGGCCGTGAAGCGCGGCCAAGACGGGACAAAGGCAGCGATGAATGCCCAGTGTGTGTGCGTAGCGAGTCCTGCGTCGGTCCACTAGGTCGACACAGCCATGCAAGTGTCCGATCCAGCCGAAAGGAAGAATACAAAAATAAAGACAACAACTTTTGCTGAGTATACGACGTTGTGTGAGTGCGTGTGTGGTGTTTTTTTTTTTTTCAGAGAGTGTTGAACTATTGACAAGAAAACCATCGTCATTTTGGATTTTTTTTTAAGTTCCAGGAGGTGTTTCCAGTTTTTACTATGCGTGTATTCACAGAAACATTTTTTACCCAAACTTCTTTACTGTTTTTTTGGTGTTTTTTTTTTTTTTTTGAGAGTGTTTTTACCTGTCCAGACTGATGCACACCAGCACGTAGCTGGAGAGGTACAGGCCGAAGATCCTGAAGAAGGACATGATGCGGCAGAGGGCGTCGCCGCCCCTCCAGTCCACGGTCCAGTTCCACGCGATCTCCAGCGGCATCATGAGGAACGTCACCTACGGCAACAACAACAACATCATGACAAGGGGCGATCGTGAGGAAAGTCACCTGCGGCAACAACAACAACATGACCCAGGGCTGCGGAACCAACTTCACCACGCGCGTCGTTTTGCCGGAACTCGCGCCTGTATTCAAAACTCGCGCCCAACTCCCAACTAATATTAAAGCGCGTTGCATTCTTGGCCCCGCTTGAGTGTGTGTGGAAGGGGGTGGGGGTCTCGCTGGAGCCGCGGCCACGGAGCGGACAGTCCGGGATCGCCAACTACACCATTTGTTCGACACGAAATAATCAAGTTTGCGGCGTTTGGTGACGTCATGCTACCTCCCCCCTCCCCCTCTGCGGTGCGGGTGCGTGCTGGCACCGGCCGCACGTGACGTAACGCGAGCGCAGGCCGGCCAATCGTAAAGCAGGCCGATGCGGGCGGCGCTGTGGTGCGCACAATGTTGGCAACCCTGCCGATATTTATTTGCAGTATTGGTGGCGGGGGTGTTGCCTGCCGCAGCGGTGCAGTGTTACCAACCGTTGGGGCAGTTTGCGACGACACTGCGTAATCCAGGTCCTTTTTCGTAGTACCTGTTTGTTGAGTTGGCGCTCCCTGTTTATGGTGTGCCCTCCACGTTCTCTCTCTCTCTCTCTCTCTCTCTCTCTCTCTCTCTCTCTCTCCTCTCTCTCTGCATCCTCTCGTGTCCGGTGGGAGAAAGGAGTCACGCCATACATGGACCTCTCTGTCTTTCATGAGTTATGGATGAACCGTCAGTCGAAAAGGCCCCCCCGTGACTCGCCACAAAAATTTCAACCTGTGTGTGCCTCTGTTTGGTGGGCGGTTTGGTGTCCGATCGGCGCGGCGGTCTCTTGTAGGTCGCGGGAAAATCGCGTTAGGTACTTAATTTTTATTTTTCAACGGAGTCGGACCAAGAATGTAAATCTGTCGCCCCACCGAACGGGTCACCTGGTAGAGAGTCCTTGGAAACTTTTCGCCACAATGCCTACTTTTCGGCCCGGCTCGCGGTCTATGGAAAGAAAACAGAAAAAAAATCCCGCGTGGTTTAACTTTTTGATGGAAAGAAAACATATTTGTGTCGCGCTCCGATTATTCTCACTGGAATGGACGGGCGAACCTCCAGCTGCACACTGGAAAAAAAGTTCCGGCAAATTGACAGTTTCGCTGCAATTTTTTTTTTAAACAACATCATTTTGGACCAAGAGAGTACGCGCACTATTTAAATTCCATTCGAGGATTTATTTAAGAGAAGCAAAACTAATGGTTTAATTAAGTCGGTTTTGACTCAACCTCTATACAGTGTGCTCCGCACGGGGACCGCGGGGAGGGGACGCACCGTGATCAGCCAATGGTTCACTGCCGAGTAAATATTGAAACCCCGGAGCCCCACGGTGCCCCGGTCGGCTCCGGCACATGTCGCACATGTCACCGGACACGGACTCGACAGCGGCCCTGGCCGAGGCCCTGGCGCAGCGGCCGCAGCGCGCGGGAAACGTCCAAGCTGTCTCGGCGAATGCATCTAGTCAAGGGCCCTTTTTTTTTTTCGACGGCGACATCCGGTCGGCATTCCCTACTTTGAAGTGCTGCTGCTTCGGTTGGCCCCGGGGACCGCCCTTCGGCGCACAGTGGGCCAGAAGACCGGTGGAGGCGGCCGAAACTCCAGACGCGTTTTGAGCTCCAGAGTCGCTAAATGGGACTCGAACCGAACGTGTGACCTCACCAATGGATTGCTCTCCAGACGAGGAATCCATTGGTGGGCTCACACGTTCGGTTCGAGTCCCATGTAGCGACTCTGGAGCTCAAAACGCGTCCGGGGTTTCGGCCGCCTCCACCGGTCTTCTGGCCCACTGAGAGACTCTACGCACCAGCAGGTCGGCGATGGAGAGGTGCAGCAGCATGTTGTTGATGCGGGAGCGGTTCCGCTTGCGCCGCCGCAGCAGGATGACGAGGACGGTGATGTTGCCCACGGCGGACACGATCATGAGGAAGGGGTAGCACGCCACCGCCACCACGTGGCCGTCGTTGAACTTCATGTCCAGCGGCAGCTGCGGAACAAACAACAGGGCTCACAAACAACAACAACAACAGTCGGCCGTCGTTGAGCTTCGTGTCCAGCAGCAGCTGCGGAACAAGGGTCAGAAAAACAACAACAACAACACGCCGCCACCAAGTGGCTCACGTCGAACTTCGTGTCCAGCGCGCTGCAGCGGCAGCCTGCACAAGGGGGCAGTTTACACAAAACGCAACAACTTTTTGAAAACTTTTGGACAAGGCTCACCTCCGTGGCGTTGGCGGTGGGGGCGTGGCGTTGGCGGCCGCCATGTTGACGTCCACCTCCATCACGGCGTCCGGCACCACGACGGCGAGCTGGCGGCTCGGCTGGCGGGGGCAGCAGCCCGGCCCATGGAGCCTGCAGCACACAACAATCGAATCAAACTCACGCGGGCGAATCAATGCAAATGGGCGGGAAAATGCAGTTTGGCGCGCGTTCGCCGCGTTCCCGCCAAAAAGTTCCCGCCAAAAGTTCCCGCGCGTCAGCCGCGCCGTTTTGTACATCGCGTTGGCGACAGTGGCGCTGCAAGCAGCCGTCCCGCGCGTCGGTTCCACCAAATGAATCTGTACAATTTATGAAAGCGGTCCGCAAACATAGTACAATGCAATTCCAGTGTGTAAGCTGGCCTTTTCCCAGTGTCCCTGCCGCCCCGGGCCAATAAGTAGTGGCCGAGGCGGCACACTGGAACGGACGGGGAACCCGACTGAGGGCTCGCGTAGCTCCGCGCAGCTCGCACAGGGAGTCGGGTCCGGTGTGTCCATGCCGTGCAGCGCGGCGGACATCTGGCTCCTTTTAAATCGTGCCGGCTCGTGCCAGCGCTCGCGTAATGAAAGGGAAGCAAGCTACTGCGAGCTCTCTCTCTCTCTCTCTCTCTCTCTCTCTCTCTCTCTCTCTCTCTCTCTCTCTCTCTCTCTCTCTCTCTCTCTCTCTCTCTCTCTCTCTGTGTGTGTGTGTGTGTGTGTGCGTGTGTGTGTAGGTGCGCGTCGTCGGTGTGAGTGAGTTTGTTAGGGGCAGGCCGCGCTTGTCTTAATCCGCCTCCAAAGTTACCCCACGCCGTTGATTGCAATCTTCTTCCTTCCTCTCTCTCTCCTCGCGACGCTCGTCACCGCCGCCCTCTGCTCGGCACGCTCCGAGGCACGACCTCTCGTACTAGATACCGCGCCGCGGCTTTGAGGCTACCTTCGCCCTCCCCTCTAACCCCTTCCACCCTTGCCTCTCCCCCTTTCCCCCTTCCACCCTTGCCCCTCCCCCTTCCCCCCCCCCTCCGCACACGGAAGACTGGCTAGAGAGACATGACTATAGAAACGGTGTGAGGCCTTTGGGCCTGGGCCTTTGGGTCTGGTCCTCGGCGATCCGCAGTGGGCCAGAAGACCGGCGCAGGCGGTCAAAAACCTAGACGCGTTTTGAGCTCCAAAGTCGCTAAATGTGACTCGGACCGAACGTGTGACCCCACCAATGGATTGTTCTCCGAACGAGGACTACTCGAGTCGGAGGGCCGCCGAGTCAAAAACCGCGAGCACATTCGCAAGCTCCCCGTCGTTGCCACGGCAACCGTTTTCCGGCGTCGACGCGGCCGGGATGATGTTCCAGATTGAATACATTACACTGCAAGGACGTGCGCGACACTGTCGGCTGCTGAATATGGAGAGTGCCGAAGGAGCGAGGGGCACCGTGTCGCGGCCACACTTTGGAGACGAGTGGCCGGCATGGTGCAGCAGTGGGGCTGCAGCACAACAAGGCCGAGGACGCGCAGTGGGCCAGACGACCGGTGGAGGCGGACGAAACCCCGGACGCGTTTTGAGCTCCAGAGTCGCTAAGTGGGACTCAAACCGGACGTATGACCCCATCAATGGATTCCTCGTTCGGAGAGCAATCCATTGGTGGGGTCACACGCTCGATTCGAGTCCCATTTAGCGACTCTGGAGCTCAAAACGCGTCTGGAGTTTTGACCGCCTCCACCGGTCTTCTGGCCCACTGTGCGCCCGACGTGCGCATTACAGTGTCTCAACCGCCTGAACCGGTCGGCGGGACTTCCCTTCAAGGGGCGACCGTCCTCGCAATGGTCGGGCCGACGCCTCAGGCAGCACACTGCCAGCACTCAGCGCCATCCTCAATTTTTCACGCGCGGATCTTGCACGCGCGCGCGCGCATACACACACACACACACACACACAACACACACACACACACACACACACACACACACGAGAGAGAGAGAGAGTACGAGGCGTGAAACGGAAAGAAGCACTGGCAACAGCGAAAAAACGGGAAAGGCAGCGAAGGGTGCAAAAAGAAAAAAATCGTCGGAAGATCCTCTCTTTTTTTCTCTTTGCAATGCTGCCTGCTTGCCTCTTGAGGTGCTGTGCTCCGTTTCCCACGAGCGGCGTTCCGCCCCCAATGCTTTTCATCATCTTGTGGGTAAGACGGGGGAGGGACGTATACATTGTCGTGGAATTCTGTCAAGTTTTAATTATTTTTTGGGGGGCGTTGCTGATTTGAAAGTCGCTTTGAGTCACCGTTTTCCAGAGTGCATGGTCCAAGAAGCGCCTAAAGTCTAGGCTTTCCCGACTCTCCCAAGCGTCAGCCTTGGCGGCAAGGAGCGCCATGGGCGCCATCGAGTCCGAGAGTGCCGTCCGAGAGTGCCGCCTCTCTCTCTCTCTCTCTCTCTCTCTCTCTCTCTCTCTCTCTCTCTCTCTCTCTCTCGCACACACGTGATCCGAGAGAGAGGCACCTCCCGCTCGGCATGAGCCCTCTAGCACGGCACGGTACGGCAGGCGGCGTGAAGCCTCGCGTGAAGCTGCCTTTGACCGCAACCAGTGCAAGTTGGTGTCGGGGCAAGCCGAGCAAGCCAGAGGTACCACCCTACCGGCAGGACATAGTGCCGTGGTCGGGCGGCCTGCTAGCAGTGCTGTGGCTGCACTTAAATGGAATTGACGACCTGTTTACAGCCACGGTGGTGGCCACCGCCTGCCGCCGCCTGCCACCACACACCGTTGCTCTTAGACCCAGCAGCCCACACAGTGTTGCCGCAGTACAAGGGGACAAAAGTTCCTGTAAACACAGTGGACCAGAGGACCGGTGGAGGCGGCCAAAACTCCACACGCGTTTTGAGCTCCAGAGTCGCTAAATGGGGCTCGAACCGAACGTGTGACCCCACCAATGGATTCCTCGTTCGGAGAGCAATCCATTGGTGGGGGTGACACGTTGATTTGAGTCCAATTCAAACAGACAGACAGACAGACAGAGGAGATTTAAAAAAAAAGCAGGAAAGGGGTTTAAAACGGTACAAGTAAAAGGGGTAGCGCAAGTTTGTTTAGGAATCTCGAAACAAATTAAAACCTTTCGCGGCGTGAATACACAGCCCCGCGGGCGCTCGATATTGTCACGCGATCTCTCTGGTCGCGGACACACCAATTCACCCCCAGGGGCGGGGGCGGGGCGGGGTGGGGCGTGGCGAGTCTCGGCAAAATTAATGCTCTGGATGACGCGCAAACGACTCCCAAGGTCACGCGTGACGGGGATAGCCGGCTGGACCGAGAAACAAAAGGCGTGGAGACGCACAGTGGGCCAGAAGACCGGTGGAGGCGGTCAAAATCCCGGACGGGTTTTGAGCTCCAGAGTCGCTAAATGGGACTCGAACCGGTGACCCCACCAATGGATTGCTCTCCGAACGAGGAATCCATTGGTGGGGTCACACGTTCGGTTCGAGTCCTGTTCAGTGACTCTGGAGCCCGAAACGCACTGTCGGACATAAAGGTGAGTAACACGCCATCAGCCGATTGGTGGATTTGGGACCAGCCTCTCTCGCGGAGCCGGCTTTTAGCTCTTGTGCATTAGAAGATTGCGTTTCGCTTCGCAATTATGAATATTGTGCGAGACCGGAAATTGCCGCTTCGGGGAGGGGGTGTTCTGACTCGCCGTCTCTTTCGCACCATCACGGGACGCGCCGTGGGTGCGAGAGTGACCGCTGAGTCGGGCGAGCCAGGGAACCAGCTGGTCGGGCCAACTAATTATCGCTGCTACAACTATTCCGGCTGCGAACTTTTGACAGTTGCCGGAAGACTCCAACACACTTGGAACTTGATGCACCAAGCACGGGCGACAGGTTGAAGAGCAAGCTAGGCTGCTGCAGCTTCTGCATGCCTGTCTGTCTGTCTGTCTGTCTGTCTGTCTGTCTGTCTGTCTGTCTGTCTGTCTGTCTGTCTGTCTGTCTGTCTGTCTGTCTGCCTGTCTGTCCGTCCGTTCGTCCGTGTGGGGGTGCGGACGGCACTTGTCGGCAAGATTACTACCATCAAGGCGGTAACGGGGCACGCGAAGACGACAAAGATGCGGTACATGGGGGTACACTGCGGGGGTCGACGTCAACAGAGCCGCAGTGCCCTTCCCGGGACACAGTGGGCCAGAAGACCGGCTCAGGCGGCCGAAACTCCAGACGCGTTTTGAGCTCAAGAGTCGCTAAATGGGACTCGAACCGACCGTGTGACCCCACCAATGGATTGCTCTCCGAACGAGGAATCCATTGGTGGGGGTCACCTCTTCCAAATTAAGTGTTTTTCCGTAATCGTCTAAAGCAGTACCTTGGAACAATTTTGTACTCCGTTCAACTCCACTATTTTTTTTTTACAGTGAGGAAGACGAGCGTGGCGTCTGGCAGACGAGCGTTAGCATGTAGCCCCGGGCCACTCAACGCCACGCTGCGGCGCGCGGCGGCCACCTTGACGCGAGAAAATAAGGTTCCCCCGAGGAAAGTCATTGGATCAACACGACGTGGCAAAAAAAAGCGGGAGAGAGAAAAAGAAGACCTTGCCGCGCCCACTCACATCAATGCCTATCCTCTCTCTCTCTCTCTCTCTCTCTCTCTCTCTCTCTCTCTCTCTCTCTCTCTCTCTCTCTCTCTCTCTCTCTCTCTCTCTCTCTCTCTCTCTCTCTCTCTATCTCTCTCTCTCTCTCTCTCAGCCCACGCACACGCACTGCGTGGATACAGTACGCACAGTCGCGTCTTTACCATCACATTCGTCTCCATCGTGCCCTTCTTAGCGCGACGCGGGTGCAGACGTGCAGACAGGCGTCAGCGAAACAGAGCGACAGCGAGCTTGAAGGCGTCCGGAAACGCACAGTGGGCCAGAAGACCGATGGAGGCGGCCAGAACTCTGGACGCGTTTTGAGCTCCAGAGTCGCTAAATGGGACGCGAACCGAACGTGTGACCCCACCAATGGATTGCTCTCCGAACGAGGAATCCATTGGTGGGGTCACACACTCTGTTCGAGGCCTGTTTAGCGACTCTGGAGCTCAAAACGCGTCTCGAGTTTCGGCCGCCCCCACCGGTCTTCTAGCCCTACAGTGTCTAGGCCCTCCCCGGGGTG